AATTGTTCGTGATTTTGGCTTCATTTTAACATTTCCAAGCTTGGATTGAGGCGATTTTTGGCACAATTTCCACCATATAAATTGGGGTAAGTGTTATCTACTCGGTCTTCGTTATATTCCATAAATATATCTTCGATTTTAGCTTTTGGTTGATGAATTTTAAAAGAAATTTGGGGTTTTGGCCTAAAGTTTCATAATATGAATTTTTGAGTTTTGAACACCGATTTGGAGTAGGATTTGAGTGAAACTAGTATGGTTGGACTCGTAATTGAATGGGTTGTCGGATTTTGTGAGTTTTGTCGAGTTCGAGGCGTGGTCCCGGGTGTAATTTTTGGCCGGATTTGGATTTGATTTGGGATTCGATCTTTATCATTTGGAATTGGTTCCTCGGGCTTTATTTGATGTATTTGAGTTGATTTGGCTAGCTTCAAGCCGTTCGGAGGTTGCTACGCACGCGAGGGCATTCTTGGAGCATCGCTTGGCTTGCTCGGTATTGGAATTGGCTTGTTCGAGGTAAGTAACTCTTCTAAACTTAGTGGTGAGGGTATAAAACCCCGTAATACGCGTTATGTGATTGGTATCGAGGTGACACGCATGCTAGGTGACAGGCGTGTGGGCGTGCACCCTGTGAATTGGGACTTTGTTGTTCCCATGACACTGTATAGTGGCCCTTTTTTTAGTTGATATCTGTGTTTTCACCATGTGATAAAGTAATTGAGCTATCAATCATGATAGATATCGTGTTTAGGCTTTATGCCGATACTGTTAAGACCCATAGTGGCCGTTTCTTGTTGTCATTTCACATATTTCGTTGATATTTTGTACTCTGTCATATTCATGCATTCATATTTTATCTCAATCTTAGTTGTTATCATTGATACATCATATTATTGTTGTCGGGATAGTTTCATGATATTGTGAACCCGTGAGTGAGACTGGAGAGATTGATGACTGAGTGAGGCCGAGGGCTTATTTGTGAGGATATTGATACCATAGCACGTGAGTTGTCCGTGCAAATTATAGCGCTTGGGCTGTAGAAGCCCCTCCAGAGTCTATACACCCCCTAGTGAGCGCAGTCGACTATAAATATGTGTGGATCGGGCTGCACGCCGCAGCAGTTATTATATAACGCTGAGTGATTGAGAGTGCTGAGCATTGAGCATAGTGAGAGAGAATGTGAGACTGTGAGATTGAGTACTCTAAGAGTGTGAGTACATGATTCATCTCTGAGATATATGGCATTTGCATGCACTCGTGACATACAGGAACAAAGATGCATTTTTCCTAAGCCCTTCAAACGGCCTGGGTTGACCCGTTTCCGGACCGGCCCGACCGGTAGTTTTGGGGGCGGGGTGGGCTGGGTTAGGGGGGTTGGTCCGTTCACCATAAAAGATCTGGTTAACTGGACCGATCAATAAAATTTACTGTTGAACCGGTTAACCGGCCCGGCTCGGACCGCTTTAACGGCTAGAAATCTGAATTATTTTTTTTAAATGTCATATGACCGTTGCCCAACGGGTTGATTGCAAGAATAGTCCTTTTTTTAGGCAATATGTTTTAAAAAATAACACTTTAGTAATTAATAATTTAGTCCTTTGAAAAACTATAAACTACCACCTTACCCCCCCCCCCCCCCCCCACCCATTCTTCTTCATTTCTTCACTCATCTCTCATTTCTCAAATTCAAATTCTCAATTCAAGTCTAATCATGCCCCTACTTCTAGAGTGCACTCATATATTTGGGAATACTTTGAGGTAGTAGAAGAAAGTGAAGAAGTTCACAAAGTAAAGTGCAAGAACTGCGGTCTAGTCTTAAATCTCCGTCTGAAGTGGGTGGGCACAGGCTATTTAAGGAGGCATATGAAGAGTTGTTGTGTGCGTCCTCTAGAAATTCGTATTTAAGTTGATTTGAGATAATTTTTGTTATTTTAAAATTATTAGACGTATTTATGCTTAATGTTTTAGTTTGTTAGATTAATTTGAAGTATTAGTATGCAATGAAAATTTAGTTTTACTCCTTTTTCGTTAATTTAGTTGTTGTTAAATGTAAACTTTAATTTGTAAGTTTGACAAAAAAAAAAGAACTTGCAAATTATAAGTACAATTTTTTCCTTCTTCATTGTATTCTATTATCTTAAATTCTTAATGAAATATTCAAAATTTCAAATATAAAGATTTTATAGCCTTTGCACCCTTTTATTCAAACACTCTTTTTATAAGATTATTTTTTTGTTTTATATTTTTACTTTATATTAATATAAATTACGATAGTTATACAAAATACAAGAAAAATAAAAAAAATAACACTAACTCGACCCGGTCCGGTCCCTTGGACCCGTAACCCTTCCGATTTATTTTTTACCCAGATGGACCCAGACTCGTTAAGCCCGATTTTGAATAACCCGTAATCGGCCCGGATTGGAAACCGGCCGGTCATATTTTTTTCCAACCCGGCCCGGCCCGACCCACCCGCTAAACACCTATAATTTTTTCTCATGCTATATAGTATCACGTCATTCATGAAACTTGATATGTGGGTATAGAGAAGTGTTTTGCACTTGTTATTTGGAAAGAAAATGGAAGTTCTTACTTATTTGGTGAAAGGATATTTGGAAAAATCATAGTTTTCAAACTTACTCGTACTTTTGGCATTTTTGGCAAAAGAATTGAGTTACACTAAGATATTTGAAAAGCATGCCTATTTTTTTCTGGAACTGTGAACGAGTTGAGCATTTTACTTCTGAGATACCCCTTTTATTACTTGTATTATGCTGTTATGAACTGTTGTAGAATACCGGTATTGGACCCGACCTTGTGATAACTTGTCACTACTTTTAACCTAAGGTTAGGTTTGTTACTTACTCAATACATGTGGTCGGTTGTATTGATACTACACTTCTGTACCTTGAGTACAAATGCTGGCTGTTGATGTTGCCGCGTTTGATAGGAGCTAGATTGAATATGTACCTGCGTTCAGTTGTAGCTTCCCTTGTTCATGGTAGCTGTAGGTCTATAAAACTCTGTTTATGCACTTTCCAAACAAACGGCGTTTGTATTCATTTCAGCTTTGTAAACTCTATTCTTAGAAGCTCATGATTTGTACTACCAGTCCTTAGGGAAGGTTTAAGATTCAGATAATTCCTTTATTTGATTGTCTCATTACTATTATTGAAATTGGTCAGTTATTAGTTCACTTACCTAGCAGGTGGGGTAGGTGCCATCATGACTAGCGGATTTTGGATCGTGACAATAACCAACAATAGAAAACATGAGGAAGAAAGGAAAAACTCGTGGTTGCATCTTCCTCCTTGCTCCTAGTGTATTCTTGCCTCCAAAGGTGTTGTGTAACTTCTCCTTTCCAAAATTATGTTTTAGGATGTATTTATATGACCTAGGTATGGTGGAGGGACGTCCAAGATAATCCAAAATCGGATAGGAGAACTGGAGGGCACGTCTACCTTCGCGCAACGCACCACCATAGACGTGGACTCAGCTTTTGCAGTTTTTTCAGTTTGCGAAGTGATCCGTGCCTTTGCTTCGCTTCGCTGTTTTTTGCCTTCGTTTTTATCCCTTTTTGCGTCCGTTTTCGTGCCATGCACGGAATTGGACGAGCTCCCAATTCTTTTCGCCTCTTCTTTTTGTGTCGAATTGTCATCTTTTGATCATTTACCATCCAAACTCGTTCCTACACATTAGAAACACATAGTGAGCAAATTTTACTTCAAAAACCATGTAATCTCCCGCGACTCACACAAGAATTAATATGCAAATATACTAAAAAAATATGCACTTTTCATCATTTATCAAATATCTTGGAGTTTGAATTTGAGGTTTAAACTCTAGGACGCCGTGTCTTGAAGTTTGGATGAAATTGACTAATTTTTAAATACATTATAAACTATGGATATATTTTAAAGAACATGATCAAAAGTGGCCACGTGGTGTCATTTCCACATTATATAGCTACTTATTGTACGACATTAGGAGGGCTTGCCGATTCGTATTCACACCATCACTTATTGAACTCTTTTTAACTTCAAAATTTGATAAAAATAATTTATTGTATTAGGAACTATTTTTGTTAAAAAGATTTCATTTATGTATTGACGATGCTACTAGTATCATTTAAGTTAGGTGACCGAGTGAGCAACAAAATGGTTAGAAGTAGGGGTGTTAATATATATTTAAAAACCAACTAAATGGATCGAATCGTATCGAACTGATTTTTAGGTTTTTTTTAATAAAATGTTAAGTTTTAATATAAATTTATAACCGTACCGATATTAGGGCAGTTTTTATTTTGTGAAAATAAAAGAAAAATAAATAAATTTACATGTAGAAAATATATTTATATATTAAGTTTAAAAATAATAAAGCATTAATTTTTTGGGCATTGGAATTATAAAAGTGGTTAAAAGCCAACAAGTAAATAAATTTAAAATTCTAATTCCCAAAATATTATGTTACTCCTATTGAAACTAGATTATTTTTCAGCATATTCGCTAGCAAGATAGAAAATATTCTAGCGATTATGAGTAGCAAATTGTAATGTATTGAATATGTTTCCTTTCGTATGACTTAATTTAATCTTTTTGAATATTTAATCTTCTATGTACTTTATTCTTGAATCACAACTTGGTTAATATCTTTTCATTGGTGTGATTTATATTTTCTTTGTCTTTGCTTAGTTTCTTTTATGCTGCTGTAGAATAGTTGATAAATCTAATACTATGATCATCTTTCATATTTTCTTAATTTATCACCCTTTAAACAGTATAAATGTATAAAGAGATTTGCGAAACCCTATAAAAATCCGTATGTTATTACGTTATACTTCTACTAGTAATTTTTACCTGACATGTAGAAAAATAATGAAGATTAATGGAATCGCACCGATATCGAAGAAAAACCGACACGATTAGAATAATTTTAAAAAGTCTAATTTTAGTTATACATAATAATAATAAAAAAAAATTAAGATTAGTATGGCACAAAATTTATAGCCGGACGGAAGCATTGACACCCGTAAAGCTGATTCGAACTGAGTGACAGCAAAAAAGTTCGGCGTTTCGCAGCGTTCCGGTGCGCAAAATGGCTTCCAAAGTAATAAACCTGTAGCGAAGCACTGATCGATCCATCCTCTCAGTAAGTTTCAGAATCGGTTTTTCTAAATCTCTCTTTACTCAGTTCTGCTTCATGACTATCACTACCTCCATTTCCTCATAACTTGCTTAATGTGAAACAATTAGTGGTGTTGAGAGAAAAGATTGCAAACCAAAACCTGTTCTAGTCTTAGATTTAATGTTAAAATCTTGTTGAGGTCGATATTCGGCGCAACAGTAGAGTTATTTTTTGTAACGATCTGTGGTCTGTAGATAATGGGTTCCAAGTTTAGAAATAGTTTAATACAAGGGGAAAATTGTTTACAATATACGACCACTCTCCTTTGCCTTGCACTAGCCGAGAGGTAGTTCTTACACGGAAAAGCTCTTCGAAATTGCTTAATTGTGGTTTACCAACGTGTAGTTCAGAGTGCTTAGCTCTGATTTGGGTCCCGGGGGAGGGGGTTAGGTGGGTGGTGGGCTGTAATTATGTCTGGAAAACTACTACCAGTAATTCTTAGCTTGATGTTTATGAGTCTTATGGTAAANTTTTCGTTAGTAGTTAGTTAGTATTTAACTTTTACTTTTTCGGTTCGTACTACTTTTTCTTTTAGTTACGTTTAGTCGTCTCGTTTCGTTACTCCTCAGGCTTCAGTTCTGTGCTACATCTCAGACTGAATCTAATCTCTATTGTGACAACCTTAGAGACTGCTGTATGTGAACTAGTTAAATCGCACATTTAATTCGAATCAAGGAACGGAATGCATTGAACATAGAAGAAAGGACATGAAAGCAAAATAATTTCTTTTTCCCAAGGTAAGAAGCATAAATTATTGCAGAATCTATATGTGCTTTTAATATACTTATTAATATCTGACTTTTGTTCATTTTTATAATCGTCATGACTAACTGAAAAAAATTCATCTTATGTTTCATGTGCAGAAACTACATGTGGAAGGTTGATGGTTAAGATTATTCTTCTCAAATTGTATCTTTCAGTCTTCAGTGATGTTGCTGAATGCGTAAGTTAGTGTTGCATATCTATGTTTTGTTGTTCTCTTAGTGTGGCAGGTCTCTATTTGTTGTTCTCATCTTCATTTTGTTTTTTTCTGGCTGATCCACATGTATGAACAGTAGTTTGACAGTTAATGACTTTTTGAAAAGTTGGATTTGTTCCTTAGATTGGGGAATCGCTATGGATGATAATGATCCAACATAAAAGAGCTGCACATCCCAATATTATCATACTGGTGTGCATCATTAAGTACTCTAATAGAAGAGCACTAACTTAAAACCTGAATTTGCAAAGCCTTATTGTTCTTATCGGTGTTGACTTATTCATCTTGGTTGATAAAAGCCTATTTCAGCACTTCAGTATTATCTATACCCTCCAGTAAATTGAACCAACTGATAGGCTTGCAATTACTTGAACTTGTTTTCAGAGGCGGATCCAGAATTTTAAGACCATGGGTGCACCACGATACTTGTCATGATATCAAGAGACGTAATATTTTTAGTGTTTTATGACATATTAATGATGTTGCACATTATTTAAAGAGATAAACTATAATCTTGCTAATCTAAATTTGTGTTTGTTATTAATATTATTAATTATATCTGACAATCATTACATAATATTTGTCTTAACTTAAAATTCAAAATAAAAAGGAAAAGTAGAATGCTAATAAAAGTTTAATACTGTAAAAATTGAAAATTACGCAAATTTTATGGTAAAAGAAGCATGAAAATATCAAAAAGCTCTTAGAGCATATGACGCGTTCTTTATATGTGAGTTGCTTATCCAAAAAAAGAAAAGTATTTTATCCTAAAAAGTTGGAAAAGAATTCAATAATTTGGTTGGAATTCAAACATGTTTAAGCAATAATTTGGGATAAAAGTATTTAAGCAAGTCTCGTCATGAACTTATATTTTATTGTCACATAAATTATTTATAATAAAACTAATTTATAGTGGTTTAAGATAAAGACAAATCTCAATGAAGTTAGATTTTATGGTTCTCTGACTCCTTAAGTTATTGTTTACCATGAAAACTTGGAGAAGGAGATAAAAAAGAAAGGAAAAATGATAAGAAGGGAATAAAAATAGAATTAAAACAAAAAAAGAGCTCTGAATTACAAACTAAATACGTGGTATTACATTAATGTGTGTCCATGGAGTCTATGCACCAATGCCAAAATTTGAATATGGGTGCCAACTATTCTATATGGCTAAACCATTAAAAATTTATACATAAAATCTACTTTTACTTGGCAAGAGGATGGGTGCATGTGCCCCTTGTTTCCTAACGTAGATACGCCTCTGCTTGTTTTCATCATTTGTTTTGAAAATGTTGATATCGTTTCTTATATGGGACAAAATCGGCTTTGACTTTTCTTCAGAAGTAATAAACTTTTGATAACTGAAGCACGGAATTGTTGTTTCTATTACAAATTATAAGTGAAACACAAAATATAATAAGCTGGCTTGATTAAGCTACTAACCCCAATACTTGTTACTCGGTCCCCTGATATATTCCCTCATAAATAAACGAAAACCCTTGGGCAGAATTTGAGAAATACTAGTTTTAATTTCCCACAATTTCCTGGTCCCAGGTGCAATATATATTTTCCGCTCCAGTGCAGTGTGAACAGAATATGTCAAGCTCCTCTAAGAAAATGTACCCTTTTTACATAAAGTAACAATTATATCAATGAGATGAAAAATTTCCCGGTATACACGCGGTGTGCAGAAGTGGAGAATTTACACAGAAATCTGGTTATCTTCAAATAACACCTAGTCATCGGTATTAATAGGGACCTCTTGGATGTATAAAAATTATCTACAAACAAAATCAGGCCCTTATCTAGACATTCTTTTTCCACGCCTTCACAAGATTTCATGTTCTTTTCTCCAAGTATCCATGTAATAGGCAAAGGTACTACATGTCATGTTCTGCATCTTCTTTTCCAAAACATCACATCCTTGATTGTATCCGGCATTGATTACTGTATTCCGAACAGATTTTATCCACCGGAACTGAATAGCAAAACTAAAGATTCTCATCTTTACCCTATCGCTTCACAGCCAAAACTAACTGAAATATTTTAACTTGCCTTTCCTCAAATTTTTGCTTTCTTGCTGCCCATGGCAAAGATTAACCTTCCTTGTCTCTAAGGGGTCGTTTGGCCGATTGTATTGGCATAATCAATCTCAACATAAAATCCCAAATAAAATAATACAGTGTTTGGTTAGCCACATAAGAAAACTCCACATCACTAATGCAGCATTTGGTTGCTGTATAAGAAAAAAATTGCTGCATTACTTAATGCAGCATTTGGTTGATGGGATTAATAATATATCCACATTAATTTATGTGGGAATATATGGATTATTTTATGCGAGATAGAATGTGGAATAAGAATATGTGTATTAGCAATATGGGGATTAAACTTTTACCAGACAAATGCTTTTAAAGTATGTAATTCTTGTATAACAATCCATTCCTATTAATCACCGTTCAATAATCCCTTTCACTATTAATCGCCGCATAGCGATCCCTTCATTATTAATCACCACATAAGCAATCCTTACATTTTAATTCATGCATAACTAATATGTGAAGCAAACGTCCCCTAAGAGTCCATACTGATAAGTAATGGAACAATATGTCCTCAGTAGTCTGTGGTAGAGGGACTTAACCAAAAATTCCATTCTCCTCCCATTCCATTTCCAAGCAGCCTGGTCTGACATTGCTGTTACATTATGATGTTCCTTTCATGTATTTTGGAACTCCCTCAATCTTCCAATCGTATAGGTCTCTTCTGAATCTCAAAGTCCAAAGAGTTCGTCCGTCTTGTACCTATATACTTGAGTAATTGTCGTATCTTTATAGCTAGATATGTAAAGATAGCGGGATCGTTAAGGGCATAGTCGCCATGTCACCCATACTTCCAAAAAGCTGATCTTAAGGGTGTGGTCACCATATCCCCCATATTCCCAAAAAGCTGATCTTATTTCCGTTCCCACTTTAAACATGATGTTGCTATTGTACTCTTTTGTCACTTTCATAATATTCCTCCATAATCAGCATTCGTGAGGCTATGTGATAATTCATTCCTGCACTACTTTCTTGTATCCTGTATGTAGCTGCAATTGATGTTGTCTGAAGAGCCTGCACCAGTCACTTATTTCCATAGTCTCTTTTCTTAGAGCGTTTTGTTGAAAACTTTCAAATTTCACACTGTGGCCTCAAAGAATGTGTATCCTATGTTGTCAATTACATTAAATGGAAAGGTTTGGCCTAGTTTCTGCTGCTTTCCTCAGTCTCAATATGGTTTTCCAGATTAGTATTTTGAGAGGGAGTTCTTTGGGCTTGTGTTGAGAAGAAAATATCAAGCAGAAGTGTCCTTGGGCTTTCAACGAAGGTTACATATCAGAGCGTAATGCAACACCTGGACCTCTTGTGTGCTTCCGTTATATCAAAGAGATATGGAAAAGGAAAATGAGATTTGAACAGATCTTATTCTTAAGTACGAAACTCGGGTAGAAATTGGACAAAGTATGCAACTTGGGTACATCACTTTTTTTTGATGTACTTGGTCAACAATTAGATTTGCAAGCCCTGTTTTTTTAACTAAAAAACTTTGTTTTCTTGTTGGATGCCTTGGCTTTATGATTCATAGACACTATTTTGCTATTAGATTTATCTGAAATACGAACATTGTAAATACAAACCTATGTTTTAACCCACCAAAGTTACAGTACAGTGGCTAAGGCCTTCACCCTTGATAACATCATTCTAAGTTTAAAAATCACATGGAATGTCATAGAGATTGATGAAAGTAGCAATACATAGAATTGGGTTGGACCAACATAATAAACATACCAATGATGAATGAGAACTGGAATGGATCAACATGTCGGACATAGCTTTGATAAACAAAAAACAGAATGCAACAGCACAATGAATACAGATGGTAAACTAAACAAAAACTAAATCCAATTTATTTGGTGTGATTCTAACAAATGCTTAAATATGTCTGATTTCCAAAACAGTGGTGAGATACTGATGCATAACAAGTTGGTACCATAAATCACTCATTTGAGCATTCCTGTTCTCAATGTCATAGTCCTTGCATTCATCTTGGTTGGTCTCAGATGAATTATCATTTGGCAACAGTAGCTCTCCTTCATTGAGCAAAACAAGGCTTTCCTCGTAAGTTCCCATAAAGAATGAGTTTTTAGTGCCAATGATATCAAAATTCATCTTTTCATGTGTCTCGAGATTATAAGACACAAGCTGTCCTGTTCTTCTTGTCAAAAGTATTTCACTGTTGTTCCTAAAGNGGAGCCGTTTGAGAGGATTTTGGATTCATCAGTTCTTCTGGGATATGATCTGACATTTTCCTCGGTGGCTGAAACTTGGGATCTTTGGCTGATTTCCTTTTCTCTTCCTCACTTTCTGTTTCTAGAGAAGAAGAGGTTGGGGAGTGGGGGAGGAGTTAAAATGATGGATCAGTCACTGGTGCTGCTGGCTTTTGAAGTTTATTCCTGGTGAGGAGAGCTTCAAAAGTAAGTTGATGCCTGTAAAAGTAAGAGAAGCATGGCTTTATACAGGGTAAATAGAGCAAAGACAAAATTTTGTACCAAAAATAAATAAATGCATGCTAATCTGTAAGGGGATATGTTAATCCCTGTCCAGATTTCCCACCGAATTATGAAGGGAAGAAAATTAGAAGGTGGCAGTGTTATCAAAGGCGCGATTAAGCCCTGAAGCAAGGCTCAAAACATGTTGAGCACTTTGCCTCTCTTAGCAGGCGCTTCAGTGTTGTCATCAAGGCCTTTAGGCATACTTTTCCTTGTCAATGAGTGTAATCCTGAAGAGTCGACAATAAACAATTGATATTATCGTAAATTTTCTTTTAATTTTTTTTGTCCATATATTTGGTATTCATTGTTATAGATATTAGTCTTAGACTACACATACATATATGTAGTTTTTCTCCGTTTGCGCCTTTTTTTTAAAATTAAATCCCATACTTTATTTGCGCTTAAAGCCCCACCTAGACCTTAGAGTTTTTTTGCGCTTTACGCCTTTGATAACTCTGGAAGGTGGTCTAATGTTTAAAGCTCGACATGGTGAATTGAGGGGTGGGAATTGCTTTTCTTTGTACTTTACCAACCAATGGCAAAATGGAGAAATAGAAAAAAGACTAGTTTATTTGACTATAAATTTCATTTGTTATTAGTTGGCAAACTACGATTACATAAATCTGAACTCAGATTGACAAATTGATATGTTGACTCTTGTTACATCGATAAGGTATTACATGCCAAAATTGGACTTCCAGAGATGAAATAAATTGATTTTATTCAGGTTTATAGGATTTCCTAGATTTTAAAAGAGGAAAGAAATTGAATTTGAACCGATTATAAACAAAATGCCTACTTACCTTGTGATTAAGAACTTAGCAATTTGAAATATTGGTTCTCATGCTTTTCTCTGGTTAGGTTGTTAGGCCCAGAAGGTGTTGTCAAAGGCGAAAAGGGTCAAAAAGCACCCCGGGTCTATCAGGGCTGTAAGTGCAAAACAGAATTAAAGTGTTGGCATTAGCTAAAAAAGGCGCAATTAAGAAAAAAGTAAAAATATATAGGTAATGCCAGAAAAATATTACAACTTCATTCATAATTATTTTCCTTAACAATTAATGTCTATTTGCCAATCTTATTTATTGTTTTGTACCACTCTATTCAAGATAGAACTTATGGGCAATGAGGCGCAAGTGCTTTGAATAAGTATCTAATTTAGGGCTTAACCGTGCCTTAACTAAGCCTTTGACAATATAGGGCCCAGAGAGTTCAGAATTAATATACAGCACATAAGTGATCAGCCGATCCATCTGATTTGGGATAGAGGCATAGTTGGATTGAGTTATTGAGAGTTGCTGGGCCAATCGCTCCAGCTAAGACATTGAAATGAAAGAACAAAATTATTTATGCAATTATCCACGCTTAATTGAAAAGTTTCGAATGAATTAGTGTTTCCAGTAAGATTTCAGTTCAACTGACATTTAGATCTACATGTGCAGGAATGCTTTGAAAGCAAAATGCACTTTGGCTTGCCTGTATTCACTCGTAGATTTTCCCGCTAAGGAAAGTTTCAGATGGTGTGATCTCGATCTTATCAAAGGTGATACTTTCTGTTGATCTTTTTTTCCTTCATCCAGAATTAGGTACGACTCCTAGATCTGGTGAATACCAAGGCAGCAAGGCAATATGAATGAAATGATTCAAAAGAAAAACTATGCGAAGGAATTCATCCAGATAGACAAAATTATTGAATATGCTATAAATTGAGAGGGTAGTTTCCATTATGTCTATGAATATTTAGAAATAAGTTCTCTTTTTGTCTTAACTAGTTATTTCATTTGGTTCCTTATTACATTGTCTATATGAAAATACGAACACCCTTTCATGCTGAAGCCTAAAAGTTTCCAGAGCAAGTCCCTTTATTCTTTTCCTCTCTTTCTTTTCCCTATTTTCCAGAAATAAATATGTCAACAGTTTAAACAGTGTAGTGATGATGAATCTTGCTAGTTACTATTTGCTTGTTTGGAATCGGAGTCTCGTTTGTGAATTTTGAAGTTCTTTTCAATTTAGGAACTCGAATTGTTTGTTTGGTTATTGATAATTAAAGATTGCTGATATTCTCTAAGTTGAAATTATAATCTGTGATTTTACAGCTCTAACATGTAAACACTTATCATGTAATAAATATTCTTCAGGAAATAATTCGTCAGCGAAGAGAGGTTTAGATAAAGCAATTTTGAAACTTACTGAGACCAAATTAGTTGAAAAAACCTTAATGAAAACTTAGAAATATTCTATTTCTGTGTATGTTTACATCTTTAGCAACATCTGCACCTCTTAACTGCTGCTGTTTCTGTTCACGGTATTTGTATTCTGTTTCAGAAATTCTTCAGATAAGCCTGAAATGGAAAACGAAAAGCAATTGGATTGTGAGGTTGAAACTTGAAAGGGATGCTCCCTGTACACGTCGCTAGCTCCCTTCTTTGGTTGAAGCATTTAATGAGCAGTTTATGGCTTTGTCTGAAAACTCACGCTATTGTCAAATTGATATGAAGCATCAAGCTTGATTGACCATCTCTCTGCACCACTGGAAGCATGTCATCAGGAAGCTCTTAGTGTAGACTTTTCTTTACATTTTGGTGGTTTATGCCAAGGCCGTGTGGAATTTTCTAGTTGTTAGGACTGAGTTAAGTTTCCTCTTAGGATTGATGGTTGTTATTTTCTTTTTACTTCTATCTGAATAATTTACTGTTTCAATGCTTTTGTCAATTTTAGATATACTATTGTTTCCAATAACCCAGCTCAACTTTTTGCTACTTGTCAAAAAAGGGAGAATTACACAAAAATACAGTCCACCCATATACATTGCATCAGAATAACCCAGTTAGAACTTTGCAAATCTATAGCCCATTAACAATAGGCCGAAGTTCGAAAAATAAGCATTGTTTCTTTTTTTTTTTTTTTATTCTGCAGATTTTCAAGCACAAAAATTTTGTGATTTTTTATTCTTCTTCCCCAAGTTTGTATATATTCCTATTCCAGCTACAAAAAATTCAAATTCATATATAATNTGATCTCGATCTTATCAAAGGTGATACTTTCTGTTGATCTTTTTTTCCTTCATCCAGAATTAGGTACGACTCCTAGATCTGGTGAATACCAAGGCAGCAAGGCAATATGAATGAAATGATCCAAAAGAAAAACCATGCGAAGGAGTTCATCCAGATAGACAAAATTGTTGAATATGCTCTAAATTGAGAGGGTAGTTTCCATTATGTCTATGAATATTTAGAAATAAGTTCTCTTTTTGTCTTAACTAGTTATTTCATTTGGTTCCTTATTACATTGTCTATATGAAAATACGAACACCCTTTCATGCTGAAGCCTAAAAGTTTCCAGAGCAAGTCCTTTTATTCTTTTCCTCTCTTTCTTTTCCCTATTTTCCAGAAATAAATATGTCAACAGTTTAAACAGTGTAGTGACGAGGAATCTTGCTTGTTACTATTTGCTCGTTTGGAATCAGAGTCTCGTTTGTGAATTTTGAAGTTCTTTTCAGTTTAGGAACTCAAATTGTTTGTTTGGTTATTGATAATTAAAGATTGCTGATATTCTCTAAGTTGGAATTGTAATCTGTGATTTTACAGCTCTAACATGTAAACACTTATCATGTAATAAATATTCTTCAGAAAATAATTCGTCAGCGAAGAGAGGTTTAGATAAAGCAATTTTGAAACTTACTGAGACCAAATTAGTTGAAAAAACCTTAATGAAAACTTAGAAATATTCTATTTCTGTGTATGTTTACATCGTGACGGTAATGTATAGGTAACCTTGTCTTGTCTTTATGATAAGTTTCACTGTATCTTTGTCAAATATGTTTTATGTTGAAAGTCAGTCTTAGCTAGAGATAGTTGCTCATCATTGTCAATTTGTCATTCTGGCACTAGTTACACTGGCATTTCCCTATATCCATATTTAGACATTTGATGTCAAGGCAAATCATAGTTTAGCAACATCTGCACCTCTTAACTCCTGCTGTTTCTGTTCACGGTATTTGTATTCTGTTTCAGAAATTCTTCAGATAAGCCTGAAATGGAAAACAAAAAGCAATTGGATTGAGGTTGAAACTTGAAAGGGATGCTCCCTGTGCACGTCGCTAGCTCCCTTCTTTGATTGAAGCATTTAATGAGCAGTTTATGTCTTTGTCTGAAAACTCACGCTATTGTCAAATTGATATGAAGCATCAAATCTTGATTGACCATCTCTCTGCACCACTGGAAGCATGTCATCAGGAAGCTCTTAGTGTAGACTTCTCTTTAACATTTTGGTGGTTTATGCCAAGGCCGTGTGGAATTGCCCTGAGCACAGGACAAACGCTAGCAATTTAGCGGCCTTTTACTTGCCTTTATAAACTACTCTCACTTGCATTCGTTGGATGGTTTAACAATTTATGAACTTCTGACGTATTGTTTTCTAGTTGTTAGGACTGAGTTAATTTTCCTCTTAGGATTGATGGTTGTTATTTTCTTTTTACTTCTATCTGAATAATTTACTGTTTCAATGCTTTTGTCAATTTTAGATATACTATTGTTTCCAATAGCCCAGCTCAACTTTTTGCTACTTGTCAAAAAATATGTTACGCGGCGCCTTCCTGAGATTCCTTGGAAGGGCGACGTAAGGCTAGGCAACTGATGTCAGTGCAGTTGCTGTCCGCCAACTGAGGTCCCCTCCGTACGCTAGACGAGATTGTCAGTGCCGTACGGGAAAACCAATGTCAAGAGCAATTGAGAGAACCGAAGTGAGAATTCAGAATGAAAGAAAGCTTGATTGCATTAATGAAAGCTATTACAGAAAAGCAACGCGGTGTCGAGGGGGAGAGACACCAGTACAGAGAATTGCTTGCTTGCTAGAAAGTTTTGATTGCTTGATCCCCCCTAATAGTACTTAAAAAAAATAATCCAAAGTTACAAGACTAGACTTGATTAAGCTAGAGAAACATAATGGAAGTACATGAAATAAAACTACTCTATATTTACAATGAAAATGACTTAGTTTTCTATAAGGCAGCAGCAGGTCCGTTGTCAGCAGCAGTGTCTTTGGCATCACGGTTTGCGCGCNATAAAAAATAAAAATTGAAAAAATTATTGCATGTTCATGATTTGGCAAATAAATCAACAAAAAAAGTTGATTTATACATAGATTAACATATAAAATTTTAATTTTAGATTTAAGTGCACATTTGTATTACATGTATAATGATGTATAACTTTGTATAAACTTATATATACAATACCTAATAATGTATATCAGAAAAATAAGACAAAGAAGAAAAAAAAGAAGAAAGTGTCAAACATCCATGGATACCTATTATACACGAATAACGTATATACACACTTATACATTAAAAATATAGATAATTTATACAGCATTGTACGCAGATATACACACTTATACATATTTATACAATATTGTATAAGTGTGTATAGACACTACCTATACGAATTTACACTAGAAAACACCTTCTGTCCATCACCACATTACAGATTTCGATGGTTGGTGGTGTTGAATTTTTCCGGCGAGTTTTTGGCATTCAAATTTGGGCTTCACCAGTTGCAAAAGATGAAACAAAAACTAAGAGAAATAAGAAAATATGAGACGAGGTTGCCGGAGATGCTCTTTTAGGCAAGATCTGATAGTTTTAGGCCAGATCTGATAGTTTTTGGACTGATATGCCAAATTTTATTGCGGTTCCTTAACCTATTTTTGTCAATTAACTCAAAAATTAAAATCGAATTGACATAGAATGCGAGGATTTAGGAGCCATTGTGCACATCTGTATAGAGCACAAAAATTACTGAAATGTTACAGTATTTGTTTTTGTTTCTTCACTTGAGTGCTCAAAAGCAATTATCACGAGTGTATAGAAAAAAATCCTGTAATTTTTAGGGAGAAGGAAGGAGAGGCGAGTGAAGAGAGATTGAGTATGCCGAGAAAGAAGAAAGAAGAAAAGAAAAAAAAAACCTAGAAGTATGTCTTTAACAATGGGCTAAAGAATGAAAAGTTTCTTTCAAATTATATGCAACATGGGCCATATTGGGTAAAGACTTCAAACCTAGGCCATTTTTAGTTGGGCTACTGGGCCAAGTGATTAAATCCGTAATTCTTTCGTCAAAAAATAGGATGCTCAGACGTCGACAGGTTCAGTTACCAAAAGTGTAATTGAGGCCATATTTTGTATTGTTGGAAAGTAGGATAAAGGAATAGTTGTACTATGGATGTAAAATTAATTTCGTGAAAATTATTTGTATGAAGTTCGAATGCCATAACACCATTTTGAGACCGAGTATGAAGAAGGGTTAAGTTCTTAGCATAGACTTTTCACCTCGACGAGTATGGCTCTAGAGGTCGGATTTGTCATCTCCTAAATCTTAGGATTTTGTAATTATGGGTAAGAGAATGGATACACGTGTTTACATACAACCAATAAATGTACATTGAAAAGGATTTTGAAGAGTTTGAGAAATATACCTTTTCCTAATATTATGGTGGTTAAAATCAAGGTCTTGTGGAATTGCCCTGAGCATGAGACGAACGCTGAGAAACATACCTTTTCTTAATAGTTTAATAAGTTGGGAAGTTTTAGGTAATAGGACTGAGTTAGGTTTCCTCTTAGCGTTGATGATTGTTGAACTTTCTTTAATTCTATCTCAATGTTTTATTGCTTCCAGATACTTTTCTCAATATTATTCAAATATAGTAGTATACTGTCAAATTTTTCTAAGAGCGCGGAATGGTACTTACTAAAATTATTAAAAAAAAAAAAAAGTAGTTGAAAATATGAGGCCTAGTATATGATGAGAAAGCAGATCAGACCATATATCATTTTTCGGTTGAAAAATAGAGTTCGAGTGGTCCTTCCGAAAATAGCCTCTCTACTCATCCGGGATAGTAGTAAGGTCTGTGTATACTCTACCCTTCGCAGACCCCACTTATATAGTTTTACTAGATTTTTATTGTAGGAAAAAATTATATTTGAAGCGTATATTAATAAGATTATTATATAAAGTCGGATGTCTTAACACCGTTTTGAAAGTGACTATAAAGAAGAGGTTAAGAAGCACCCTATAGATGTGCGCACCGATAATGTAAAATTTTTTAAGAAGTATAAACACTACTCTGTCTACCTTGAGCTGCATAACACTTATTTACGGAAGAGCGCTTCCTATCGGAACATTTTTCATTTTCAGGACTAAAAGATAAGATTTCTGGTTAAGAGTTGAGAAACATTATTTATCTTATTCAGTGTTTTAAAAAGTGTGGGCGTAAAACGAAATGTTTTACATATGCCTTAGCGAGACGTAAGCCCCGAGGCACGGGGCGTAAGCCCCATAAGTATTTAATTTTAAATATTTATAAATTAATATAATTATAATAAATATTTATAAATTAATATAATTATAATAAATATTTAAAGAAAACTATATATATGTATGTTGCTTCGTCCCTACAAAAAATTAATCAAAACAATCTATTATAAGCTAATTAGAAGCACAAGTAACTTGAGTCATAAAGAATAAAGTTTTCTATATGGAGGAACAAAAAGATGACTAACCTACAATTTGAACTTTGAATTCGCTGCTATGAAGGAGAATGTAGTTCTCTTTGTATATGTAAAAAATTGAATATTCGTTGCTTTTGGGAGATATTAGCAGACAAGCGGTCAAGAAAAAGAATTGGAAAAGACCATGAATTAAGGCTTCAATCAATAAAAAAGGCCTTGACTTTTAAATTTAATACAGTTCAGTTCCTTCTTCAAACTTTTGAGTAATTACCAAGTTGGTTTTTGAGAATTTGGGTATTATATGAAGGACTTATTCAACAATTTTTGTTTTAATTTGAAAAGGTCTCTAGGGCTTATCTCTCACTACAAAAACGCACCTGAAACGCGCGAGCGAACGCTCCGAATTAATGGACGTATGTTTCTTGAGACTTCCGTCCCACACCATCGCCACGGAACATTTTTGGTGTGTCTCGCCCCAAGTCTCGGCCCGAAAACGCGTTTTAAACCACTGATTCTATCACAAACCTGGATGGTAAATGCATATAAGATTACATATACTAATTCACATACTGGTCCTCTCTCCTTTGAGATAAAATGACAGCTCAATATTTGTTTTGTCAATAATTTCTCACTCTTTTCCTTTGCATCCTAAATATATTTCAAAGTATAAAATCAATATTCCGTCTTAACGGATCTCAATTTCAATTTCTCGAATAAATTGCGAAATTGCATATGCTTGGATTGATCAAATAAAATAGAGCTTACATATATTGAAAACGGGTATTAACTCAACATCACCATAGGTTTAAAACAGAAACAAAGTTCAGTGATTTATCATCTTTTAATTAGAACTCTATTACTATGAATTGTTTTCTTTTTGAACTTTTAGATTATAATGTTAGTTTATATAAAACTCTTCCTTATAATTCGAGTTCATTACTCAGATGGTCACTCAATTTTCCGAAATTATCTACCAAAGTCATCTTTCATTAGTTTGTAACAACAAAGTCACTTAACGACGTCTATAACACTTAGAAGGTCATTCAACCAAATTTATCAAACTTTTGATCGCCAAATACCTATTTTACCCGTCTAAATTATTAACTTTTATCTTCTTTTTTTATTTTTTTTTTATTTTTTATGCCTTTTCAATATTTAATTTTTTTCTAGTTTTAATCAATATTATGAACTTACCTATAAAACAAAATATTTTTCTAGCATATATAATATCAAAATAATAATATAATTGAGCATAATATTCAACAATATGTAATGTTTTATTTTAAATAATTATTTTCTATAGTACGTGCATGGAATATATATTTTAAAACTTTTATTTCCTTTCATTCTCAATTGTGTAAATAGTGTTTTGAGTTATTTTGTTAATATCAAAATTATTATTACGAACAAATTGTTCTAATTAACTTCCTACTATGCCCAATATTTTATTATTCCAATATTGTATATGCTTAAATACTACTTTAATTTTTTTAATTTATAAATAAAATTTATTTATTCTAAGGTATGTCCATAATATAAATTAAAAAAGAAAAAGTTATATATTAAAAAGCTAAAAGAAAAAGTTAAAAGAAGATAAAAGTTGATAATTTTGATGGTAAATAGGTATTTGACGATCAAAAATTTGAAAAATCTAGTTACGTGAACTTCTGAGTGCTATTGACATAATTAAGTGATTTTATTGTTACAAACGAAAAAAAATATAACTTTGGTAGATAATTTCGTATAATTGGGTGACCAACGCACTCTTATAGTTCTCATAGTAAAACTTAAGATTTTACATTCTTTAACCATTCAAAATTAGACTGTGATGACCAAAATAATAAAAACGAAAAAATGCTTTTTGTTCAGTATTAGTACTCCATATCAGCTTTTCTGTGGTATTTGTCATCTTGTGCTCGGAAAGCTGAAGAACATGTAGCTTTTTTCCTTTCTCTGCAGCGTAAGGATTTTAACTTTAGGGAGACACAGCCATATAATATAATCCCTAGGGGTTTTTCTCACTTTGTTCATTGTTATCTTCTCTATAGAAACAAGAAAGAGGTGAAAAAAGTCGTACAACAATGTCTGATTATCTGCCTGATAGTTTGCTACCCCAAATCCTTAGCAGGTTGCCCGTTGAAAGCCTTTTACGATTCAGGTGTGTTTCAAAACAATGGTGTTCTCTCATTTTATCTCCTAATTTCATCTCCACTCACTTATCTCACTCTGTTTCTACTACTACTACTACTTCCACTTCCCTTCTCCTCCTCCGCCACCTCTCCCTCAAACCCAGGAAACAAGAGCACTACTCTGTTTACTTTGACTCTTCAAAACCCGAAAACCTAACCCTAGTTAAGGAACTCAAGTTTACGTTCAAGACTAGGTCTAAGAACCACTTTAGAGTTGTGGGTTTGTGCAATGGTTTATTTTGCCTCTCTGATGATCTCTTTGGTTACACGTATACTATCATTCTATGGAACCCTGCTATTCGCAAAAGCTTAACCCTCCCTGTGCCTCGTGTTCACTTTGGTCCATATGGGCCTTACATGTTTTGCCTTGGATTTGGGTTTGATTACAAAACAAATGATCATAAAGTAGTGAGGATTGCCTATTTGCAGGGATTTAACGGTGCTTATACTATACTGCCTCCTGAAGTTGAGGTCTATAGTTTAAGTACTGGTTTATGGAAAACAGTTAACTCGAAGGATATTAGTTGTAAAATTGTTGAGTATTTCTATAGCAGTGTTTATCTAAATGGGGCTATTCATTGGGTTTGCTATCGTAAGAGGGAAGGTGGGGTTTTTTCAAATAGCCTGTTGGTTTTTGATTTAAGTGATGAGACATTTAGTGAGATGGGTTTGCCGCGAGAGCTGGTACATGTATCACCTTTGGATTTGACTGTAAGTTTGTGTGGGGAACTGATTTCTATGATTTGGTACGAAAAGGGTCGCGATCGGGGTGAATCCTGTGATTGTTGTGCTGTTTGGGTTATGAACCAGTATGGTGAATTAGATTCCTGGACTAAGAAATTTGTAGTGGTTTTGGAGAGAGGGCTGTCACATGCTATCGGGTTCAGGGGAAATGGGGAATTTCTGGTAGAGAAGTGTGTTGGCGATCTTCTATCATATGATCCCGAGAGCAAGGAATTTAAGGATCTCGGTATCCACGGTGGTAAAGAGTCCTTCTTCTTGAGTGAATATGCTGAGAGTCTCGTGTTGCTTGATGGAATTAGTGGGGCTGCAGCTGATCCTTCTGATGCATCCGACTCTGAAGAGGCGAATGGGTTCCCGCCTCAACTACAGAACGCACGGAATGAGATGGACCTGTTGAAGAACTGGTATTGGAGTACCCTTTTCGCAAAAGCTAGTCTTCATGAATCATGATAAGCCTTATATTCGGGTCTCCATGTATTTGCTTTTGACTAGCTATAAAGCTCAAATCCTAGTGATACTATTTTGAAAACTTGTTCTGCGTAGTTTCTGAGAATTTAATAGTTTTATATAGTAGCATTATAGAAATGACAGTGGCATCTTAGTTTGCCTTGCAATCTGTTCCGTTATGCACTTTATTTGCAATTCTGAAGCTGTTCCTTATTTTGTTCCATTTCTGGGTTTTTCAGATGTTGCTTTTGTTGAGAAGTTACTTTTAGTTTATCATAGATAAGATTAGCTCTTCCTTGGCCTATGCTTGTTTTGATAAGAGTATGTGCTGGAATCTTTTCAACGTTCCCCTAAACGAAACATTTAGACTTGCACTACCTTCAGATAACACTTAATCTCGGTCAACTGACTGTGCCTAAGATTACCTGTCCTCTCCTCGTGTGCGATTAGGTTGCTACCAGGGTACTACTTGAATAAATGTATCATACAAGAGGCTAATAGTTTTTGCCTTTTTGGTGCACTTAAGTGCAATGTTTATGAATTAAGCCTTTGATACCGTCTATTGGAATTGCTTGACCCTCTTTGTGCTGAAAAAATGTACACTTTTCAATGGTAAAAAATGCAAACATGGTATACATTCCTTTTCCTGTCCATAGACTACTTTCTTGATGGATTTGGCACCTGTTTTGAAGGCGGATTAGAATTTCTCATCTGAAGGGGAAGATCATTTGATCATCAGTTTGAAGTTTTATGGTCTACCACTGTACTGTATGCCATACTAGTTCAAACTGACTAGTCCAACTTCAACAATTCTAATCAAGCTAGAACAGGAATATGCATCACATCAGCTAAACTGAACTCTTGCATGCCCAGCTAGGTATGATGTTTCCCCGAGCTTAACTTCCACCTCATTAAGAAGCTTTCCCAGATGATCCTTACTCTGTCTTGGAACTTCAGTGTTCTCCAGCTTATCATCTGTATCATATGCCTCTCTTAACTTGCGTATAATTCTTGTTTGCTACCTTACATTCTGCAGTTACTGAAAGAACGAAGTTATATATCAAAACATCAACATTCTGGAACACAACTTTATTTTCTCCAGAGAAAACTAGGGCTGAGGTGAAAGATGACTTACTGAATTCCCTCATATATGATGTGAGAACCATTTTCAAAAACCAACACTTGGATTCATCCCGAAGAAAATTGCATCATGTTTACTGTCACAGGGGCGTTTTCTGTCCGCCGAAAATGTTGCCCGTTGTGCGGCAGTCAAGTCCCCACTTGACTTCAGCCTTGCCCGATTTTCTTTCGCATTCGAGGTTTAACACTTAGAATAAATTCAAGGCAACAAAATTAAACGAAGGCACACAGATTTACCGGAACCCTTTCCCAACCTTTTATAATAAATCAATTACAAAGGAAATTCTCGAGTTTGGCAAGGTGCTGCCACCCTTGGCAGGCACCAACTCACAAAAATAGCCGACACTTGCACGAATCTGCCCTATAAAAGCCCCCGCCTAAGGCCGCTCGTGCTGCCCACTCGTTTGGCAAGGCAATGACACATATTTTGCCATGCTCAAGCCTTAATATAGACAACCCTATGCCTATATCATAGACTATTTCCCTCCCTAGGTACTTAGCCCGTTTTTGGGGCTGCTAACACACATATATATAGTGTAGTCAGCCCAAAAGTGTTTCCTATTTTCAGTTGACATCCCCGAACTGATAGGACATGATCCCCATGATCAAAAATGTCTAGGACATGCCTAAAAACGTGCATAGACTCAGCATATAATCAGCAATTATTGGACAAGGGCAGTTGTAACCGCCCAACTGCATGGCATGTGCACAACACACTTGAAAACCACTCCATGTGCATTGCATGTGCGCGTTTCTTGGCCAGCTGCTGCACGCCCAAGGCTGGCATTGCGCCCAGCCTTGGCTTTTGACACTGCTCCGCTCAATGCCATCGCCACAGTTCGTCGCCATGACTTTGCGCGCGCACGCCCGCTACCACCGTTGCTTGTTCTTATCAAGTCGCCCCTACTTGATCAAGTCTGCCCTTTGCCCATGTCAATCTGATTTTAGCATCAAGTCACCAAGCCTTGATGCCCTTCCCTTTTCTAAGTCATTTGCCCACAAGTTCCTTAGGTGCCAGCCCGCTCACCTAAGTCATGGCAACATCATATTCCCAATGCCAATGCCTTGGCACTAAGCTGCCCCATCTTAGCGCCGAGGTCTTTCCCGTTTTGCCTTGTCAAGCTTCCGTCCAGCCCGCCTAGTTCCATCAAGGTCTTGGCCTTTGCTTGTACGCAACCCACTCATGTTTTGGTGTAGTCCGTCACACCTTAGCCCTCAAATAGAAGCGTAGTCCGTCACACTTGCCCTTGCAACAATTTGTTGCCATTGACAACACCCGCATTGTCTTGCATATTGATTTCCCCCGCACATAGACCAATGGCAAGGCCATCATGCCAAAATCCTTGCCACTGCCGCGCCGCTTGCCGATCAGCTTTGTCAAGGGTCTAACAAACCCTCTGGCCCAAAGAAGTAGTTATGGCTTCACCAAGCGAATTTGACACAACCTTTATTGAGTGGCCTTCGATTGTTGTTTACATGTGTAAAATGAGATGGATCAAGATGGACTGAGTTTAACTACGAGATCTTTACATAAATAGCCAGCCACATTTATTGTTTACTTTTTCTAACCATATAAATAGACTATACATTGCTTATACACATATAATACATAAATTATGCATATATTGTACTTCCACTGGTTATTTTTAGTTTAAATGGTTGAGTGGACGGCTATTTGGGTTAATTCTTCTTTAACAACTAGGCAGATGCAAATTGGGTGGGTCATGTTTTTCTGGGCCAACTTTGACACCTTCACGCCCAGGCGTGTCTCGAGGCGTTTTCCAAGCGCCCGCTCAGAGATGAGCTTAATTAGAACGAGTCCCAAAAAGGTCATAAAACAACGATAGGCACCAAAAGAACAACAAATGAATTACCAAATTCCTTTAGGATTTCCTTTCCAAATGCAAATATAGAATGTCCATGATATGTTGCGAAGGTTTTGGAAATACAATCAGTTCCCTTCCCCCAAGTCTCATTACCTTAATCTTTTCTTGAACAACTTACTTAACTAGTAAACAGTGACAGCTATAAAACCAAGTAACAATTACCACCTTCCTCAACACATGAAAATAATCATGAATTCCTCCAAATTTTATCTCCCAATTCTGGTCCTTGTACAAATTCTAACTTGTTCCTTAGCTACAATTTATCAAGTAGAAGTTTCTAGTCAAATGGCTTTTCCATTATCTATCCAATGCACAGCCCAAGGACACAACATTAGCAAAAGCAACGTGGGTACTGGTCTTGTTTTTACTTTCCCTATTGATACAAGTGCTGCTAATCCAACAGCTTCATGTCAAATGAGTTCTGGAACTTTGCATGGAAATTTTCTGCTGTTTGATCCTTCAAAAGACCAAAGCAGATGTGCTAATGCATCTTGCAAATGGTCAATAGATGGGGATGGAATCTATCTTTTTACTAATGACCAAAATACTCTAATTTTTAAGTGGCCTTAGGTTGTTGTTTACATGTGTAAAAGAATAATTTAAGGTACTTTTTGTGTTCAATCATTCAGTTTCTTTTAAGTGGGTCTTAAACGCCTTTTAAGTACTTATTCTTCATGTTAAAGTAAGAAACGAAAATTTAATTATAAAGCGGCATTATCCCTCATAATTTTCACTGCCAGCTTTCTCGGCAACTCCAAGCTCTCTTACTCAAGCATACACGATTATTTGCAAATTTATGTTTGTTTATAATCTTGTTTATTTTCATTTTCACTTGAATTTGAAAATGTAGTTTGAAGATTATTTTAAGTGAAATAATGGTTTTTATTCACAAAATTTCAACTTTTTTTATGTCAAAAGAGAAACTTCAGTAAACTCATTGTTGTTTTGTATTTTTTCAACTAACAATATTGTCCAAATGGAGATATCCGAGTAGCTCTTTTGTGATACTAGTTTTTGCTTTTGCACGATTAACCAGACATGACCTGCAATCTTATTGTTGCCAAGTTTCCAGTAAAATTAAACAAAATTCGTTGTTGCCAGCGGTTAGAATATCAAAGGAACTTATTTTTCCTTTTGTTTTTGGCCCTTTGGGACCTAAAGCAGAAACGAGAGAAGTAAACTCTGAACTTGTGGGTGTGTAGGCAGAATTCTTCATTCTATTTGTCAATCTTAGAATTTTACGTGTATTTGATTCAAGCCATCCAATTTTTTTAGTTAGATTGGAAAATCAATCTTATTTCATTTAGTTTACTTTGATTTGTATATTTAGCGAAGTGTTAAATGTATTAAGATTTTACTTGATCCTTGTTATTTAATCTGTATTGCTGTAATAAACAATAAAACAGTAAACTTTCTGGAAAAACAGAAACAGAAAGTTAGTAGAACTAGAACGACAAAATAAATTCTGGAAAATAATATAGGAATAAATCGAGTCCGCTGAATACACAGTGCGTCCTTAAGAAAATTATTCCCCTCAAGTACCCGAGGTGCTAGAATATATCCTCCCAGGATAGAACGATTTAACTCACCAGCGTATCGGTACCAAAAACTCTGGTGAACGGCGAACCACTCAATGGTACACACTGGAAAATATTGTGCAGAAAAAGAAGAAGATAATCAGAAAATTTAGTAAGTAAAAATTCTGGGATTCAAGGCATATTTATAGCCCATTTGGCACTGTTTCTGAAAAGGTTTGCAACCTTTCAGAACAGCGATAGCTGTTGGAACAGGTGGGAATATTGCTGGAAAATTAAAAAACTGATTTAAAATAATTCGAGAAAGAAAACGGACCTGACCGGACGGGGTCGCGGGTCATGGGTTATTTCGGATTGAATTTTCGTTAATTAATTAAATAATTGAAAGGAATTTTGTCCAAAAAGATTAATCAATCAATCTTTGACCAAATCCAAAGCCGAGCTAAGCGAGCGACGACGACGACGGCGTGAGGCTTGCCTTCTTCTTAACTCTTTAAGAGCTAGAAGAAGAACGATTGTATATGTCCCATCAATACTCTTTTCTTCCTTCAATATGGGACAATGTCCCTTTGCCAAGGAGGAAAACACAAATATTTCATTTTCCCTCCATTTCCCATTCACCCTCTTTAAGCTACACCAAGCTTAAATTAAGCTACACCAAG